ATAACTAATTGTGCTAAGCAGGGAATGATACAGCATTTGGGCTTTCTGGAAGGGAAACTACCAGTGAAGAGCCTTTGTGTGCCGCTCATAGCTGGGAAGCTATCTGTCCTGGACTGCCAGCCTATACTTGAGAAAATTAAGGCTAGAATTAATGGATGGGCTATGAAACACTTGTCTTTTGCTGGAAGAGTGCAGCTAGTAAATGCTGTGCTTTTCCACTTGCAAGTATTTTGGAGTAGTACTTTTCTGCTGCCTGATAAAGTTTTGGACCAAATTGACTCATGTTGTAGGAATTTTATATGGAAAGGAGCATGGGACAAGGCTGCAATGGCCATGGTTGCATGGGAAGATTTATGCCTTCCTAGAACAGAGGGACGACTGGGACTGAAACAAATTAAAATTTGGGATAAAGCTGCGGTTGGGAAACTGTTACAGGAATTATGTGCTGAAAAAGGAGTCTCTCTGGGCTAGATGGGTGAATGCTCTGTACATAAGAAGTGGCTGTTTGTGGACAGCAACTATTCCAACTAATTGCTCATGGTACCGGAAGAAGATTATGAAACTAAGAGAGGATGTTCAACCTTATGTTGTTATGCAGCTTGGGGATGGAAGGCAATCATCTTTGTTTTATGATCGGTGGCTTGGAAATGAACCCCTGGCAGGTGTACTTGGACTAGATGGTGATGTGAATAGTTGGGGTAACAACTAGCGAGTTTGTGATTGGTGGAGTCAGGGGCAATGGTGCATGCCTAATAGTTTTTGTAGAAGATTCCCACATTGTGTGGAAAGAATCCAAGCCCAATCACTGGTGCAGGAGAATGATTATGCTATGTGGAACCTAATCGGTAATGGAGTATTTTCTATTCATAGCCTTAATGAGGCACTGAGAAGGAAAAAGCAGTGAGTAAACTGGTTCAGGTGTGTTTGGGAACGCGGTATTATTCCCCAACATAGTTTTATATTTTGGCTCACAATTTTGGATAGACTTAAACAAAGGACAATTTAAGGAGGGGTATGAATGTTGATTTATCCTGTGCTCTATGCGGTGGATCAGACGAGTGTAGAGAACATTTATTTTTTTATGCCCATTTAGTAATCAGGTCTTGAAGGATGTACTAGGCACGTTCCATATCATAAGACAACCTAGAGCTTGGTACTTGGAGTGGCCTTCGCACTTGCAGGCAAGTAAGGGTAGGAATGCTCATGGAAGGCTGATTAGAGTTGCTATTGCAACTTCAATTTATTATTTGTGGATGGAACGAAATTGTAGGTGCTTTGTTGGTGAGAGAGACCCTGTGCATATTATAAGTGGGAGAGTCATACAACATATTAGGTTGATAATTTAGTTTTGTTATAATGCCAGATGTTTGCTGGCCTTAGATCCTTCTTACTGATCGTATGGCACCACGTGTGCCCGGGGTGGGAATGTAATCATCCCAAATGAGATTTGGACTAATACAACACACTAATCCATTGTCCCAAAAACAGAAAGGAAAAAAAAAAAGAAAAAAAGAAGACTTCCTCAAGCATGTTATCAAATACAATTGTGTGAAGTTTCAACTTTACTCTTAACCTAATTAGCAACTTCTACCAATTTATGTCTACGTTAAGTTAAATCAACCAGAGTTAAATTTGCCAAATGTGACCAAAAGACAAGCAGTACTTGGGACTCTGGGAGCAGGGGGTGCTTCTTACTATCTCACGAGGGAAGAAGGAGAGCCACCCACATCAAAGTCCACCAGTCTCAAGTGGGAACCATTCGATGTTACTTGTCACTCAAAAGGGACATAATAGAAAGGTACAGGTCAGGTACAACCGTATAAGAAAAGGTGGCACTCATTGACTACTTGGTTACCTTCCTTTTCATTTAGGCAAAAAAACAGGATACGATTAAGCGCTTTTTCTCAAACGCTGGTTGTGTGTGTGGCCCTTTTTTCTTATCCCTACGCACAATCCTGTTTCTTCTCTAA